CCCGCGCCGGCGGAATTTTAAAAACCCCGGGCATGGGCGTGGACTTGCCGTGGTGCCCGTGGCCGTGGTTGCTGTTGCGGGCGTGGTCGCGGTCGTAGACGGCGCGCTTGGCGGGCGTGCCGAGCGTCGCGTAGGCGTCGGAGATGGCGTGGAATTTGGTCGTCGCCGTTGGGTCGTTGGGGTTGTGGTCGGGGTGGTGGGCTTTCGAGAGGGCGTAGAAGGATCTAGGAGGAGGTGGGACGAGACGTTAGCTGCGTGTGTTCGCGTGACGAGCACCCGTGTGCCAGGGACGAGCACTCACTTTTTGATCTCCGAGGGCGAAGCATTGGGTGCTACCTTGAGCGTGGCGTAGTGGTCTTGGGCGCCCGCGCCGTCATGGCTGCGATGGAGGGCACGTATGGTTCTGAAGGCGCGGAACTGTGATCTCGGAGGTAGGAGTGCATCTGGACGGATGAGAGAGGCGGCCGCTCGGATGGGGGTGTAGTATCGTCGCATCCCTCATCACGCATGCCGACGTCTCTTGTAAGGGGAACGGCACGAGAGGGAACATGTGTGAAGCTGGCGAATGTCGGAAACAGGTCGCCTCGGAGCTCTCTGACAGATCAGTGACGAAATCGATCTGATATGCGCTTATCGGAGGCCTGGCCTTCTTGGGTGGCTGTCCATAAGTCGGAAATACGCATTAAACAGATTTATGTCTTTATGCGCGATATCAATGCGGTCTTGACCTGATTGCTTTCGAGACGCCGTCACAAATAACAGATCGTCAAGAGACTGGTAGAGATGTTGCTGAGTTGTGGAGTTAGCCACAGACTAGAGACGTCAGCTGCCGAGGCATGATCTCCATACGTGTGGTCTGGCCAGACCGCATCCCTCATCGATGGTGTTGTGACGAGCTCAGTGCGCTACGAGACGGCCATCACACTGCTGCCACATCACTGCATCACACTCTGGATTCACCATGATTCCTGACATGAATGCTGTTTTATAAACGATACTTAAACAACGACCTTAGCTAACGCTGATCGGATCCCTTGGGTTGTACGTTCTGGACGGCAAGAACGGGGTATATCCTCCTTTTCCTTCTATAAGCTCACCATGATAACCATGCCCTTCGTAAAACTACTGCTGAATGCACCAGACAGTGTCGAACCTCACGCAGATCCGGGCCGTGGCCTTTTGAACGGATGCGCCTCGGTGTTCAGCACCCATTCGTCCAAGCTCAGAACGTCGTCGTCGGAGAAAATGAGATAAAAGTACTTTAGAGTTTCCGAGAACCAGAAGCTTTCCATGGAATCAGTCTTCTCTGTTTCGCCGCCCTTGGGAACAATGACAGTCCGAATGGCCGAGTACGCCAGCTTCGTTTCCGTGGCGTTGACAATGGCCTGGAACATGTCCCAGGCGGCGTCGCGCCACTCCTCGGCGCCTGTGATACGCCACATGTAGAACACGCTCTCAATGGCCTCGGGGCGCAGGAGGTATTGCGGGTTGCGAACCGAGCGGAAGCCCACGGGCATCGTGTCCAGGGAGCCGCGGCTGAATGTATGGAGCTTCCACACCTCTTCAGACCACTCACAGGCAGCTTGGAGGTCGGTATTGGGCGGAGTGGTGAGCTGGGCGCAGGAGACGTGAGAGCTGATCTCGGCCATGAGACCCGTGGGGAAGGCTTTGTAGGACCACACGCAGCCGCGTGTTATCTTGTCGGCGATCGACATGTAATCTGGCCGGTTGAGCAGGCGCGAGGCCAGGGCGTACATGCCACCGGCGAAACATGACAAGTGCTGCATCTCCGGGACATGCTCGTGGGCCCGAGTCTTGTGGGCGTTGGCGTCACCAATAAGAAGAATGTCGGCATTATCGGGAACCAGAGGTCTAAAGATGAGGTTTTTGGAGACGGTGTCCAAGGCCTCTTCGGCCATCTTGGCGTACTGCGGATCACGACCTCCCAGGAGAGCGTGCATTTTGGGCAGGTACTCGTATAGCGAGTCGGCCTGGCCACCTATGGTGAAGCGGGTATCGGTGGCCAGCATCTTTCGATAGTTGAGAAAGGCAGGCCACATGCCGGGGATCAGCGTATCCTGCTGGGTGGCGCGAAGAAATTGCTTGACACGCTCCGTGGCGTCATAGTACTTGGGGTCGCCGGTGATCTGGGACAGACGAGTGAACTCCATGGACATTGAGCATCCAGAGGCGGACGAATCGCGATCACCTCCGACCTGGTGGCCGTACTTGGCCGCGGAGAACTTGAACCAAAACGGAGGCATGCCGTTCTCGGTATCAAAACCGGCGTAGAGCATATCGCCGAGCTCCGTGGCTTTGGCCAGAAGCACGGGCTCGCTGCTGAGATCGTAGGCGGAGAGCAGGCCGCCCAGATGGCGAATGGTCGTCTCGAACATGTTGATCGAGGTCATGGTCGTTTTGTCCCAGTCAATGAGGGCCACGGCCTGCACCGCCTCGTCGAATTCTCGGCGCAAACCCATGATCCAGAGGGTGTCGAGGCTGTCGACGATGCTGGCAGCGAAACCACCAAAGGGATTCTTGCCCTGTCCGGAGACGGGCATCAGCTCATCCCAGGTCCAGGCGTGTTTTTGATAACTCGCCCAGCTCCTCCGGAAGGCGCTGAGGACGGCATTGCGCCTCGATTGGACGACCTCGACAGCCGTGGCGGGACTGCTGGACTGGCTAGGGTCGTGCTGGACCCTAGGAAATGTGATGGGGTCGCCTTTAGGCAAACGGAGCAGCTTGTCGCGAGGATACTGACGCCGCAGGTTGGCCCAATCAAAGCTAGACCGGCGGTACAGCACGCCTTGCGTGTTGGGTATGGGTTTTGGCTGCCTCCTTACACTGGGTGGTAGACCAGAGTGCCAGAGGAGGAGCAGGGTGAGGGTGATGCATATGAGGATTGGCCGTCGCGACGACCGACGAAGAGTGATCATTATGGCGGCTGTGTTGAAAACGTGGGCGCAAGCAGAACGAGCATCGCGATGCTCATGTCTTGCTGGGGTGTGATGACAGGCGCCTTGCGTGCAGCAGGTGAAGCCTGGAGGGTTGCAGGAACGACAGGTGACGTTGGTGTCTCACTGTGCGCTGGATGGATTTCGCGTCAAGAGAGACAATGTCTGATCTTTCTTTACCTTCCGAATCCTGTGTGCCTCTTGCCAGTCTTTCAAGGGAGGTACCTGGTTTAGGTGGTACCTACCTCCTGTAGGGGCAGGCGGGTCGTCAGTGCTCAGGGGGGTGTGGGGGGAGCCTGACAAGGGGCGGTGGGGGAACACGAGGCCAAGTCCACCGAAGCTTCACAAGCTTCCGCAAGCTTTCGCAAGCCTCCCCACTACTCAACAGCAACCCTGGCCTATAACGTGCACTGAAGAAGCCCATTGGGAAGCCAGACAAGACACATCTCGTTTCGCTGTGCAAACCTTTTAATCTGCGTAGGTAGGTAGGTGCCTTGAGGCTTGCTCCTGTCTCCTTTCGCCAGAGCCTGCAGTTGTCTGAGCACCACTGAATGCGTGACTCTCGTGACGAACACGAAGCAAGCCAGCCATATGTGTGGGCCCGTACTGGGCCATGACATTACGACGCACGACACTTGGCGATCCTTTGTTTGACAGTCTGACGATCTATCCAAGGCCTGCCAGTCTTACTATCCGACGAACCGCCGCGCACTGAGATTACGCCTGGTACCATGTCGCGACTGTCCTACGTGTCTCACCACAGGGCCGTTCAGGTTAGAAAATCCAAGGTCCATCCGAAATATGGCATTCTATCCTCGACTGGACAATACACTACGGGATCATACGAATGAATACATACATCGTCTATGACATGTTTGGTGCTTGCTGTTGTTGTACACCTGACGATATGATCAGTCCCAGGCCTCCACGGCGCCCTCAATGAGGGGCCGGATGACCTTCCTTCCAGCGTCTTCCCGCTCATGCGTCCAGACCATCTGGCGCTTGCCCAGCTCGTCGGCCCGATGCCACGGCTTCACATTCAGCGACTCGTCTGCCTCGACGGCTTTCACGACCGTCTCGAAAAGACTGTCCGCCTGTGTCGCGTTGATGCGCACATCGGTACGGACCACCAGGACGATCTCGCGGATCTTGCGCTTCTTGCCGCTGGCATCCTTGGTCTTGTACTTGTTGAGGGCAACGCTAATGTCAGCACCGACCTGCGCCGTCCACGCCGCCTCGATGGCGAACCAGTCAAACAGCTCGCCGAACTCGGTCTTCTTGATCTGCTCCTCGAGCGAGTACGGGATCGACCCAAAGCCGAGGCTGACGGTGGGCGTGCGCGGCGACGGCGTGTCGACGAGGTCGCCCTTCCAGTCCCTCCGCAGCAGATCACGGACGCCGAGATGGTCGAGGTCCTTCTTGGCAGCACTGAGTTCGTCGTCGAGCTCGGACATCTTGTCCTCCAGGTCTGCGCCGCGCCAGTCGCTGCGGTCCAGGACTCTCTGCGCCGTCTTGCGGTCCTCTTCCGTGGCATCGCGGAGACCGCCGGCATCGATTGCGATGGCCGACAGGATGAGCTCGAGAAGCTCGTGGGGCATGTGGTACTCTTCCGGCAGGGCCTCGAGCTCGTCGAGCATCTGGCGCGCGACAATGGTCGTGCAGCTTGCCACCGTTTCGAAGATGCGCGGCTCCGCATGAGGCCCGGCGCCGTTGTCCTTGTGGTGGTCAAAGATGCTCAGGAGCTTGGCATCGTGCCACTTCCTCAGCGGGACCGGGTGGTCCACAATGACGATGCCTTTGATGTCGTTGGCCAGCGTTTCCGGATCCTCAGGAAGCTCTTCGATGGTGAGCAGGTCCGAGTGGCCTGAGCTCATCTGGGAGTTGTTGAGGGCCATCTTGTTCTCAGGTCGCAAATCCAGGGCATCGGTCGGCGTCTGCAGCAGAGCAATTGCCTTGATCGGGTTCGACGTGTTGAAGGTCGAGTGCTGCAGATGATACGCCCAGGTGAGGGCGGCAGTCATCGAGTCGAGATCGCCGCCTTCGTTGCCCTGGACAATTGTCCACTCCGAGGACCGCCCTGCTTGCCAATCGATGAGGAAGCGCCTCTTCGTCTCGCGCGACCATTTGCTGAAGTGTCCGACGCCGGTCTCTCGGGGTCCCTGTGCGGCCTGCGTCGAGTCGGGCTCGGCCATGACGTGCTGTTGCGGCAAGTCTTCGAGCGGCTTGGCCTCGGCGAGCAGACAGGCTCCTAGCGATGCCCCAAGGAGGCACAGCTGCGAGAGATGCATGGTGGTGAGTGATCGAATCTGCGCGAGGACAAAGAGCCAGCGCCAGGTTCAAGACTTGAGTGAAGGTAAGGTGGTAGGTAGTGAGTGGTGGGAAAGATGGCAGCTGAGAACGCGAATATATAGATCTATATATAAGTTCCCCAGTAAGTTACGGGGTTGGACGCGCTTGGGCAAATGACGTGAGAGCTCTCAAGCTTAAACAGTGGGGCATCCGTTCCGGGAGCCTGTGTCTTGGCGGTCCCTCCACGGCATCTCCGGCAAGTGATAGATGTGAGGATGATTTGCCTAATGTAGAAGCCTAAGTACGTATGAACGAGTACCTACTCAAAATGCCGCTTTAGACAAAGTCCCCTCGCAAAGACCACGCAACTCCACATTCAGGGAACACAAGATAACCAGCCTGAGTCGCTTCCTCTCTTGTACCATGGTCATGGCTGCCAAGATCTCCGGGGGGAAGCGGCAAGCATCCATCCATCATACAAGGCACGCTTGTATGTGGAACCCCTGTTGTAGAGCAAGTGTGCCTTTAGGCAACGCCTCTCATTTTCTTAAGTTTTCTTGGAGGGTCTGGCGGCCCTACGCTCGGCGATCTGTCCTTCCTGAACATGCCGCTGAATCGACTCTCCCGAGGCGGCAATGGCTGGATTGGTAGCTGCTGGGACGATGGAGGGTAGTCGGGCTCAGAGGGCTCGTATGTCTCTTGTATCTGGTCCAACGGAGGCATAGCCCCTTCCGGGTGGTGGAAGCGCTGGTTTTCCGCTTCGTATCGGCCCCGTTCGAGGACGTCCTCGTTCTTCTGGACCGCCACGCTGTCGGGCTCGTGGAACCGTTTGTCGATGGAGGAGTTGAACGTCCCGCGCAGGAGATCACCAGCACCCTGATACCAACATGTTATTCATCGTGCTCCGGACAACATCTTGGGGGAAAGGGGTTGACGTAGACGTACATGTACTCCGGCCGCAGCCCGCTTCAGGTTGTCGAAAGTCTTTACTGACCCCAGACCCTTTGGTGTACTGTTGCTGCCGAGCCGTGCGTTATGTCCCTGCGCCTCGTGCGGCAATGGTTGGTTTGACGGATGTGCATAGTCCTGCGGTCCTGGGTCTGGCGGACTGGACCACCCTTCTTGGGGCTGCATGGCGGTTGCGAGAGGCCTTGTCTGGTTGGGCATGCCCTCGAGAGACCGCCTGGCATTCCGTTCCGGTATCACGGGAGGTGGGTTCCTTGCCTCCACCGGGGTCATGGGCGAGGTCGGCTCTTGGGGCGGAACAAGGCCCGCTCCGGAAGCTCCTGGCATCTGTTCGTCCTGTTCTACCTGGGTGGGGGGCTCGATGCCCGTCGGCAGCTCGGTGGCCTTGTCATGCGGCCGTTCGATGATGGTTTTCTCCTACATTTAGCGAACGGTCCTGGGTCATAGGAGAAGAAAGCTGCGAAAGGGATCACGATGTACGTACAGCGCCGTCCTGGCCAGTAATTGTCGTCGTCGTCGTCGTCGTTGTCGTCGTCGTCGTGATAGTCTGCCCCGTATTGGGATTGCTGTGGGTTTCCCTCTTGATGGTAGGCGACGTGTACGACGTCGGGCCCCTGAGTGCTTCTTCCGTTGGGTTGGACATTGATGTTGGATTGCTTGACGGTTCGCTGCGGGATAGACCGTTGGTGCTTTTCGACATGTCCGACGGCGATTGCGTGCTCAGAGTTGTGTCGGGCTTGCTGCTGTTCTCTGAAGAGGATCCAGCAAGCTGGCTGTCCAGGCTCGAATTTGGGATCGGTTGCTCTGTGGTTTTGGCTTGGCTTCTTCCGCCCAATATGTCCATGAATCGGGATCGCCTGCCTTTGGAATCCGTTGCCGACATGGCGAACGAGATGGATCACAGACTCAATGCTGCTGGTATGTTCGGCTGTGGAATAGGAGCTGTTGCGTCTCTGGATAATGGCACAGCAAGCCATCTACAGATGGAACCTGCTTGGCTGGGCATGATCCTTGATGAGGTCATCTCCCCAGTGCACCACTTGGCTTCGCAAGCGTTGCAGGCCACGACAGATGACGTCGCATGGCTGATCGTCATACCCCGACAAAGCTGCTAGCTTTATGCACAGCACCTGTATCCCTCGGCATTTGCGTGCCGACATCTCGCTCTCTGTCGAGAAAGATTGGTCGTGGGCTCATAATTTATGGGGGTGAAAGACGCACTCCCTGGGCGAGGATCATCTCTTGGCAAGAAGCCTCGACCTGATCCTTGGAGGGTCCCTATAACACTGATCTGCTATTTCCATCTGGATGTATCTACCCGTCAGATCTCCTGCGACACGGACATCAAGCGGTCTGGCGCCGACGGTACAGTAGCGTGTAAGTATGTGGAAAAGGGGTTTCTACAACTTGGACGCCACAAATGACTGAGCGTTGTGATCTGACGTAACAAAAATGAAACGATCTCCGAGTATAGACTTGCTGTATTATGGAACCAGATGCAACGACGGAGTAGTTCTGCACTGGAAGCCGTTTACCTGCCTCATCCCAATGACCCCTTTCGTTGTGTTGTAATGGATATCCCTTACTACAGCTGGAACGGCTGAACATTTGCTTGAATACTCTACACAGGCTGCGCGCTGTCGTCATGTTGAATTCTGAAAAAGGAACGTCCGGGTTCAACGAACGCAGACGACGTGGCAGTATGCTGTGCGCAGGGTGTCATATATGTCCTTACTAGTGTGCACAGACTAAAGGCCTATACCCGTGGTACACTCCAAATAGCCGTTTTGCGCATCCATCTTCTGGGGAGAATTAGCTACTCATTTTGGTGGTCAGATGTTCTTCGTTCTTCATTCATTTAATTCACGGATATATTCAACATCAAGCAGTGCATCCAAGGCAGAATCAAGACAGCCCTTACAAGGTTGATTCACGATATTCTTCCCGTAACAAAGCTGGCACCAAGACCGCTGTTGCAAGCGAGGGCCGGGCGGACGAGCAAGCAAAATGAGCGATTCACTTTGCGGTCGCCTAACCTTAGCCAGGCGGAAATCTATCTTGGCCCAGAGGAGCAAAGAGAATAATCCTGTTGGCAGTACTCTTTCTGGCGCTCGAGGAAAACAGTTGGAAAACAGCTTTTGTAGATTGCACAACCCAAGTCCGGCCAGAAGAGCCCGAGACATGGCAAGAGGTTAGATACGGTACCCTGTATGGTACCTTTGTACCTAGTCAGAAGAGTACGGGCAACAACCATCATGAGCAATCGGGAAGCATTGGCGTTAAGTGAATGACTGTATTTAATGTTAACGCGAAGTAACTCAACGAACGACCCCGACACTAGCTCTCCGGGCCAGGAACCACGTGGTGATGTGCTGGCTGTAGCGCGCCGAAAGCTCGAGATGTATCGGTCTGATTGGGATTACTGTACAATCAACCAATCTTGACATATCGAAGCACACGGACTGCCCGGACCTCAGTGTCGTTTAAACCCTGCTCCACCGAGTGTGAGCTTCAACCCGAGTCTCGAGACATGACGTCCCACTCCTGTTGCCTTCCCTGCGATGGCCTCTCGGAAACCGCTCGCCGCCACAAACTCTGCAAGGGCTATTCGCCATCTCTCGTTCGGCTGTCTCATGATTTGCACCACCTTGATGTTCAGCAGCGCAAGTACACTGCTTGACTGTCGTATGCGCACAACCAGGTCCGCTCCGGCAGCGTGGTAGCCGTCGGTAGGTATCGCTAGGGCGAACCGCCTGACACGTCATCCAGCGCGCTATCGGCTGATGTTATGATGCGCATTCCTTCGAGACGGCCTGTTGTCATTTGACCAGGCATGTCCTCGGGTACTCGCCGAGCCTTGGGTTGCCTTGCTGTATAGCTTGTGGCGAGCTAAACCCAGTGGGAGCAATGTCGAGACGACTCATACATGACTTTTGATGTCTACCCTCTCGTAACTCAGTCGAAGCCGCCGCCAATCTGACTGTGGAAGGCAGTGCTGACGCTCTTTTCATCGTCATCCTTGTCGAAGCGACGCCCGTAGCCATTGCCAGGGCCGTTTCGGTTACCGCTGGTCGAGTTGACATATTGCGTGAGACGGTCGCTGCGGCTGTAAGATGCCGGCCGCATGCCGTGAATGGCATCTTGAAGACCCGCGCCCAGGCTGACGCCGCCCTGACCTACTCCCTTGGCCCCAATGACACTAGCGCTTGCATCGGTGTACTCAGAATTGGCCACACTCTCGCCAGCGATGCTCTCCGTGCCGCGTGCGGCCCTGCGGTTGCCGGACCGACCAGTAGGGGCACCTGGCAGTCCGGGCCAGGTTTCGTGGCCGAATCCGGAGAAGAACTGAGGGTAGGTCGTGTTGAGGCCGGCGCCGCCGAGGCTAGAGCTGTGAATAGAGGAGACGTCGTCAGGAATGTAGGACACAACGGAGCCTGTATCAAAGTCGCGGACAGAACCGCCAGGAGGACCGTAGCGGCTGCCATTACTGTTCCCATTGCCGCTGCTGTATCCGCCGGCAGCGTATTGGTTAGGCTGGTTGAACTTTTGACGGGACGGGCGTCTTGGGGTTTGCCAAACTGGAGGGAGGGGAGCTTTTGCAGGGTTGGTAAGCGGGCCCTCGACGAGACACTTGCGGTCCTTAAAGTGGACAAGAAGATGGTGCCAGAGCTCGTGTTTAGACAGCACCTTGGGGTTGCCGAGGATGACGAGGCCGTACTTCGCGCGCGTGAGACCAACGTTCAGGCGACGGGGGTCCGAAAGGAAACCGATGCCTTGGTTGTCGCTGGAACGCACGCAAGAGAGTACGATGAAATCCTTCTCTCTGCCCTGGAAGGCGTCGACCGACGCCACCTCGACCTCCTTGTAGCTTTCCTTCTTGAAAGTGCCCGTGTTCTGCATCGTGCTAACGATGTAGCTGCGCTGGCCTTCGTACGGTGTGATAACACCAATGTCCTGGGGCTTGACGCCTGCCTTGAAGAACCGAGTCACAACCTTCTCGACGTTCGAAGCCTCGGTGCGGTTGAGATAAGATGTGCCGGAGGCTGAGATCTCCTCGTTACCCAGGTTCGACCAGAACATCATGGGTGTATCGGCAACGGGCCATGGGAAGTCGACATCGCGGCGGAGTCGCTGGGCGTGCGTCACGCCGTTTTGAAGGGAACCATCGTAGAACATGTTGGATGGGAATTCCGACAGGCATGGGTGCATGCGGTACTGAGTGTTCAGCCGAATGGGCTGCAGACGCAAATTCACCAGTCGCTCGAACAGAGACTGGTTGAGGCCTGCCTTCGCTGCCTTCTTGTTCATGATGACTGGGCCCAGCTGCTTGTGGTCGCCAACAAGAACCACCTGCTTGCAACCGAGAACAAGAGGAATCATACATTCCGGCTCAGCAGACTGGGTCGACTCATCGATCAAAACATTACGGAACTTGATCTTAGAGAGACGGGGATCGCCTGCTCCGACACAGGTGCAGCAGACGACGTCAGCGTTGTGTAAAATATCACGCTCGGCAGCCTTGGTCAGCTGCTTGAACTTCTTCTCATCCTGGCTCGAGAGTTCGCCAAGCTCGGTCTTCAGCTGTGCAAGCTTGACAAGCTCGCCATTGCTGTCGTTCATACGGACTTGTTCGTGGAGAGCGAGGAAACTGACAGAGGACTCAACATCCTCACGAGACTTGGCTGTCAAGCGCACGACCTTGAGCCCTGTGCGGTGGATACGTTCGCAAAGTTGATCGACGGCAACGTTAGAAGGCGCACAGACGAGGACCTGTCCTCCACTGCTCTTAGCGAGGTGGTAGATGATGGTCGCCGACGTGACGGTCTTGCCAGTGCCCGGGGGCCCCTGGATACTTCGCAGCGTTAGCAATGCGCAGAATATCGAATGACGTGAAGTGTCGACTTACAGACTCAGAGGCGTCTGGAGGACCGCCTTTATGGCAGAAATCTGGGACTGGTTGAGGTCGGGAAGTCCAGGAGCGGTAAACTTCTTAGGCATGGCCGTCTTCATGGGCGCGACCGCAACGTCACGTCCAAGCAGCTTGTGAACGATAAAGCCCGAGACACTGTTGTCATCAACAGCGAAAGTCTTCATGGCGAGCTGCATGCGGTCATATGAAGTCGCTTTCCACACATAATCGGCCGAAAAGTTGTGGGTGCACTCAGTTGGGACCGTCTTCTCGTTACCGGCCTTACGCAGCTCCAGAGTGACCTCGTCGGAGTGATTGTTGGGGATCTTGATCACGTAGCCAACGCCTTCCCAGGCTGGGCGAAGCTCTCCCTTGTAGCGGAGTCGCATCTCGTCACCAACAGCTAGCTTCACATCGCCGGACTCTATCTTGTGAAGCTCGAAGCTTGCAAGATGCTTGCCGTTCAGGCCGTAGTCCCAGCGAATCTGAAGGCCGTCCTCCGATTGCGCTTCCTTGAGCTTCTTGTCGTAGTCGGACTCCATCTTGACCAGAGGGCCAAAAACATTCTGGTACTGAAACGGGTCTTCGTACTTGAGCAGGACAGGATGAGGGTCGTCATCAATACTGGTCGCCTTGTCCAAATCGGCCACCGTTGCCGTCATATCCTCTTTCCACAGTTCCTCGAGCTTGGCCATGACATTCGGGGTCAAGTGACGAGCGCGCAGCTGCTCGGCGTCTGAGGGCGTTGCGACCAGCCACGGGAGGAAGGCGCGTTCCTCAATCAAGGGCTGCCATCGCGAGATGTCCCAGCTCATGTCCTTTGAGGAAGTGCTGGCGGCGCATGGCTGTCGGCAGAGAAGAACGACAACGGTGTCGGCTTTGGCAGGGATGAATCCCAGCAGGAAGACGTTTTTGCTTCCGCAGTTGTAGCACTCAAGGATAGTGTCGCCAAGGGTCGATTCAGGGTGAAGCTGGACTTCTCGGTGGCGAGCGCGAACGAGATGGTTGACGATGTGGCTGGAGGTCGTGTTGCCGCGAGCACTGCAAAACCACTTGTTGCAGCCAAGGCATTTGACAACGGAGCTCGGGGAATGGATGCCGCAGTACCTTCGTGGATCGTCAAAGTCAGCAGAGGGCCAGAGTCGCATTTCGGGAGAAGTGGGGTAGCAAGACGTACGAGCAGGCATGGGCAGGCAGCTCTCTTTCCTCCTCCTGAGCGTGACCGAGCTTCAAGTCTTGCAAAGCGCCAACGGGTGCGCTCGTCAGACTGTCATTGTCCTCCTCGTCATATAGCTCAGTCTGGTTGTCGTCGTCATCGGCGCGGCGTCGTCCGCCGCGGCCCCCAAACTTGCCACCATAGAGGAGGCTCTCGTCCGCATCGATAGTCGAGAGGTCGTCGGCGCCGGCCTTGATCGCAGCAGCGGAATCGGAGATCAAGTGGTTTCCGAGGTGAGTAAAGGCACCCTCCATGATCGCGCAGCGACGGGGGGAGTGGTTGTTGTCAAGAGTTCTGCTTGGATAAAGCACCCTTGGAAAGATCAGCAACGAAGTCTTCGGTCGCTCGGATGGCTGAGCCGACAGCAGTGATCTACTCCGAGCATTTGGCAGGGAGTAGCGTAGTTTCGAAGATTGTGCGACTCACCGGACAGTATTTTCGCTATGTCTCGCAATAAGGTCCCGTTCGGCAGGGTCTCGGGTGCGGCTCTGGGTCGTGCGGGAAGAGATTCGGGGTAATGTGAGAACAGGGCAGGTCACATCATACCGACCAGCGTGCAGGTTGGCTTGGTTGTCGTGCGTGCGCTGTGTGAGGATGCCTCGGATTTGCAGGTGTGTACGACGGCACAGTGGCGCTGTTTCGGTGCAAGTCGCGCGAAGCTTGATGATCCTGGAATTCAAAGACGGCGCCCAAAGTCAGATTGGCCGATCACTAAGGTATGATGGCTTGCTCCCTCTTTTTTGGTGGGATGCCCCGTTATCGCCATGTGACGCCCCCGCGATAGCGATAGCACGGGCCAGTTCAGCTCCGATAAGGAAAGATTTCGGGTCGTCAAGATTTCTGGAGGCTTTTGACGAAGCCGAGCAAGGACGAATGCGACAATCGATCATCTCGACCGCCTGCGTACACGTATGAAATTGAGGGCCAACCGCGCCAGCCGGAGTAGACGACGGACAAAATTCTTAACCACAACCGACCCCGACCCGAAACGAAACAACTGCCGACCTTGTGCACGCCTCGCATCGCCGAATCGCCGTCATGCTGGTGAGGACTTTGGCAGTTAGATGAAATGGGCGCAAACTAATGCATCTCAGCGCAAACAAGCTAGGCAGCGGAGGGACTACCTCTACAGGCGCGCGACGGCCCTGAAGGAAGCAGAGACCGCAGAGAAGAGAGCCCAGTTGAGGGAGGCTCTGGCGTCAGGAAAAGCATTGGACCCCTCCATTGCGAAAGACCAAAAACTCCGAAAGGGTATGTGACCTTCATGACGAAGACCCTGGGCGGCATATAAGATTTGAAACGTCAACAAGCGGCGATAATTCAGATCTAATGGTCACTCGGTGGACTGTTGCCAGGAGACGCGACAGAAGCTCACTAACACATGTACCCAGACTACCAATACGATGAAGCTGGCGACATCAACGCGGCGGCGGATCAGCTCGACGACGAATACGCCGCAACGTCGGGCCTGAGCGAACCGAGAATCCGTATGCACATTCTCCCCTACATATTTTTTTGAGTAAAAGGACTAAAACTCCACAGTTGTCACAACTTCTCGAGATCCCTCCAGCAGACTCGCAGCCTTCTCCAAGGAGATCAGGTTGCTATTTCCAACCTCGGTCCGGCTCAATCGTGGCAACCTCATCCTGCCTGACCTTGTCATGTCTTCCAAGACGAACGGGTTGTCTGATCTTGTTCTGCTGAGCGAGCATCGAGGTACACCCACGGCTCTGACCGTCAGCCACTTGCCATTTGGGCCTACCGTGTCCTTTTCTCTTCACAACGTGGTCATGATGGCCGAAATCAAGAGCCTTGGCACAGTTAGCGAGCAATATCCCGTAAGGCACCCCTGAACTAGCATGTTATGGCACGGTGCCAGAGACTAACACGGACTCCAGCATCTTATCTTTGAAGGTTTTAAGAGGTATGTATTTGTACTAGATTTGTGCTGGCAGCAGCACGCGGCACACGCGTGGACGACGAGAGGCCGAAACTGACTGGATATCCACAGCCCACTGGGAAAGCGAATCGTCACCGTGTTGAAGCATCTGTTCCCACCAAGGGAGCCCATAACGAGCAAGAACCAGGTTGGAAGCCGAGTTGTCACATTTGTCAACGAAGACGACTGTATCGAAGTCCGACAGTAAGTTGCTGACCGAGAGCGCCGCACCTGGGACCTACTGACCGCTCGGTGTAGTCACGTCTTCGTTCGAACATCCTACGATTCAGTGGAGCTGGCTGAAGTTGGGCCTCGAATGACCATGAGGCCGTTCGAGGTCAGAGCCGGAACGCTGGAGGCCAAGGGCGACGTGGAGTGGCACCTCTCACAGTACACGCGTACGGGCCGCAAGAAGAACTACCTGTGAGGCGATATGGTTGCTGTTGTCGTCAGGAAAGTAGACGGCGGAGCCAGCCGTACAGGGACATGAGGCAAAGGAGCCCCTCGATGGTATCTCTGGCATAGTGGTCACACAGGGTGTTGAAGAAGCTGATAACACACTCCCTCACCAGGACGTTGATGAGATGGCCATGCAGCAGCATTGCGATAGATGTGACGGCTAGCCGGAGCGGTGGAAGGCAGTACGAACCCATCACTTGAGCCACCATGATTACCTGACCTACTTTATGTAAGGTAAGGCTTATGGAGGTAGTTGCAGCCATCACGAAACGCCCAGCTGGTAGGGAAAATGGGTACACGGCGCGAGGCTTCTGCGTCTGAGACTTAGACATGGAAGTGAGTTGAGGACGTCTGCACAAAGAATGACGCAGAGTATCAAGACGATGTAAATCAGGCAAGGGCGAAAGAAGCCAATGTCCGTGAAAGAAAAAAAGGAGACCGGACGGCGTTGGGAAAGATACCAATAGACAAACCCATGATGATCACATCTCACTCGCGTGTAGGACAATCTATGCAGTCATGCCTTGTGATGCATCGTCAAAGAGCCAGCGACGTTTCCTCCTGCGCAGATTGCACAATAATAGAAGCAGGTCGCAGGCGATGCCGGAATGTGGACAGGTTTTCAAAAAGGCAGCCATGAACCAATGGGAGATTGGCAGTGTTCGATGAACATTTTACAAGTAATGGACATCGTCAGATAGTTCCGATCTGCCGAGACTAACAAATCTAACAATGAATGGATGCCGGGTGCGGAGGTCGCGAAAGCCGATGCGGGTCGTGTGTGGCAACACGAATTAGACGAGCTTATTGTGCGAAGCCCGAAGAGGCGAAGCACAGCCCAGTAGCTTGCGAAGACTGCGGACGACGACGACCCCGCCGCCCTATTTTTGGTGGCCCGCAGTGGTATGGAGAACAGAGCCAGCAGTGCTGGAGTGCTGGAGTGATGGTTCACTGGACTGAAGGGACTGGCGCAGCCACAAGTCTTGGAACGGCACGGGCGTCTTTTGTCAAGCCAGTTCGGCATCTCACGCTGCTGCATGGGCGACCTTACATGCAGGGCAGCCACGCCAGCGTGGGCTCAGTGACAGACATGCGGAACATGGTTCCAGATGTCCTCTGGAAGGGAGGCTCCGCTGAAGATTTTTGGCACCTGTACTTGCAGGCTGTGGTTGAGTGTCGTCTATTACGTGTCAACTCACCAATCAAGCAAGGTAGTTGGCTGTGACAGGAAGGGTTGCGAACCTTTTTCGATCTCGATTCGGCTGTCATCTCATGTCAGATCAAAGAAGAGAACAGAAGGCCCTGGTATTGAAGGAGCAGGGGCTCTGTAGGAGCATTTGCGCTGCCCACTACATGGAACTTATCCACCTGCACTTTCGGCCATTTCAAGCCCCGGAGCCAGGCTACGCACAGCCCCCAAGGCGGCATGTAGGCAGCTCTTTAGGCCTCTGTCTACAGGTGGAGAGTCCTGGCACGAAGCACAAAAGAGACTGCTGTCCGCCGCCCCCGAGCCGCCCGCCAAGTTCGATTCAGCGCTCAGACAAAGCTGACCCCAGGCCTGAGCAAGCACCACAGACACCCGAAGCCCCCTCCCCCAGCTCAGCACGCAGGAGCATCTCACTGTGCCCTTGAAAGTTTGCAGGGATCCCCAAGCCCAGTCAAGACCCAAGCTTCAACGTCATTTACCCTTGCCCGTCCCATTCTTCCGTCCCACTGGCCAGTCAGATCGCCGCATCCGCAAACTTCCTTTAGACAGTCCAGGTACCCCGTCCGCGTGCAGGTCCTCAGCAACCGGGAATCCCATCTCACCTTGGTACCTAGGTACCTACCTCACTCCCTCTCCCTCTCTCGTCAATACTGCACGCTCCACCACTACCTCACCTCCCGGACGGACCGTTTTGATCACAACAAATTCCTTTCCTCAATTCGCCCGTCGCCACCATTCAGCCTTTTGCGAATACATCGACTACCAACGCTCTGCGCGTCCATCGCGCCTCTCTTAATTCTTAGCCCATCATGTCGTACGGACAATACAGCCAGAACCCCTATGCCCAGGGTCCCGCGGCTGAGGGCGGGTACGACTACAACCAGGTGAGCCCACATCCAGCCTCGAGCGCAATTGAAGCCATCACCACCATTCTAACATTGACCTCATTCCAGAACCAGAGCCAGCAGCAGTATGGCGGCGGCCAGTATGAGCTGCAGCCCTATGGCCAACAGCCACAGCAGAACCAGGACCAGAGCAACCCGTACCAGCAGCAGCAGCAACAGTCATCCGCACCCACCACCATCAGCCAGCAAGACTTCCTCGGTCGCGTACAAAATCTGCGCAACGAAATCCGCACTTTGACGGCCGACATTGAACACATTGCTCAGCTGCACCAACGCGCGCTCTCTTCCGCCGATTCCGTCGCCTCCGACCAGCTGAACAACGCTGTTGCCCAGACCCAACTGCGCAACACGCAGATCACCGAGGAGATCAAATTCCTCGAGCGCGATGCCGCCCGCACCCAGGACGCCTCCCGCGCCTCCAAGCAAGCCCAGCTGAACTCGGTCAAGAACACTTTCAAGGACGAGCTGCACCGTTATATGCAAGTGGAAAGCGAATACCAGAAGCGCTACAAGGAGCAGATTGCCCGTCAATACCGAATCGTCAACCCGGATGCCACGGAAGAAGAGGTCCACGAGGCCACCGAGGTCGACTGGGGAAATGAGGGTGTTTTCCAGACAGCGGTATGTCCCTCCCACCTTCTCTGTCGCCCCTGCCCTCGACCTCGCACGTGATGCTAACAACTCGCTGCAGCTGAAGAACAACCGCCTGGGCCAGGCCAACTCCGTCCTCGGCAACGTCCGCGCCCGTCACAGCGAGCTTCAGCGCATCGAGCGCACGCTCGCCGAGGTCGCCCAGCTGTTCCAGGAGATGGCTGTCCTCGTCGAGCAGCAGGAAGCCGTCGTCGACGCCGCCGAGCAGAACGCTGTCAACACGGTCGAGAACATTCAAAAGGGCAACGAGCAGGTCGAGGTCGCCAACAAGCACGCCCGCAACCGTCGCAAGCTCAAGTGGTGGTGCCTCCTCGTCGTTGTGCTCATCATTATCATTGTCGCGCTTGGCGTCGGTCTCGGGGTTGGTCTCGTCAAGAACTCCAGCAGCTAAGCGTCGCTTCGATGTATCATGGGCGCGCAAGGGAAGAACCGCAAGGAAAGTTGCATCGCTGCTAGACTTTGATGCGCGACACCCAACCCTGAACAGCAACGGCGCTAGAGCCTTTCCCTCTACTTGTTTACACTTTACGCTGCGCCTTCCACGCCAATGATCCTGGCGCAAGGGGGCCTTTTTCTAATAGGCGTGTTCTGTCTGGTCTGGCAGGAACCGGCAGTTTATGCCGCGTCGCTTGGGTCTTTTACGAAGTCTCTGACGGCTACATCTTTGTGGATGAAATACTCTAGAAGGGAGGGAGTGAGAAGGGGCGGCTTGGGAGTTTTGTACGTGTTGCTTGTATTTACTTTTCTCCCGGGACGGTTTCCTGAGCCGCCCCCGGTTTGGATCCGATGCTGGTAGTGAGAGCAGATATCTCATTGATCGTAATTAATAGCTGGAAACTGTAACGAAACTACCAAGACGTTGAAATGCGGTGATGTACAATCTGCTGTGGCCTGTTCAACATGCGCCACTTGACCACGAGGTTCTGGTTTTCCGAGACAGAATCTTCCCTCGTGTATTCGGACTGAGCCATACGTATTGCACAAGACATGCAAACGAAACACTGTCATAGGCCATGGACGCGGTGTTACAGGTGAGTGGAAGAATTACATACTACCTTTTTGTACAGGCTCAGCACGCCGTGCACTGATGCCCCGATACATAGTACAAAAGACAACCCTATCTGCCTCCGTCCCCCTGCCTTTTCTCCAACATGACCCTGAGTCGCACTCAGGCGAGAAGGCCTTCCCCCCTTCTTGTAACGGAGCAAGGGAGGGGAGCCAAGGAGGAAACCATCGATTTTTGTTTTGACCTTGGCTCCCACCTTGACCGTCCCTGCGAGAGCTAGGCAGGCAGCAGGCAACCCAGAAAACTCTCTATCATACAAGGCGCCCTCGAGCCCGACCATCTGGCCTGCATTCGTGAGGCGCATCGTGTCTCCCCCCCTTCCCCGGTCTCCCATCGTACACACTCACATCCGAATCTCTTCCCCCGCCACGGACAAGGACAAGACCCTTACCGGCCGAGCGCGGGGTTCATGCCCTGTAGCCTCGCGGCAAGCTTGGGGTACTTCTCCTGCACCTGGAGCTGCGTGCGGGTGGCCTCGGCGTAGGACAGAGCATTGACAGTCTCGCCTTCGGTGCGGGCCAGCTCGGCGGCGCGCTCGAAATACTTGAGCGCCTCGGTCACCTTGCCCTGCTGGAGGAGAAGCTGGGCCATGGTGGCGACGGCAATGTCGCATTCGGGGTCGACTGCAGAACGGTTAGCGCCAACCGTTGTAGACAAGGATTTGTCGAGAGGCAAAAGGGGAGCGGGGAAATACGTACTGATAAGTGCCTTCTGGCACAGCTTCTCGGCCTCGGTAAAGTCTTGCTTCTGCTGGAAGAGGCACAGGGCCTTGTTGATGAGAGGCAGAACGTTCATGGCCATGGGCTTGGTCTTCTTCTCCATCTCGATGGCCGTGTCAAACTTCTCCACGGCCTCCTGGAAGTTGCCTTGGTCAAGCAGCAGCTCGCCGTAGTAGTTGTAGACGTCCGGCACCTCCTTGAAGTTCTTGATGCAGCGGCGGAAGATGGACATGGACGAGGCGATCGAGCCCATCTTGTACTGCGTGACGCCGAGCTGAATGTGCGAGAAGATGAAGTCGCGGTCGAGGTCAATGGACTTCTGGTAGTCCTTGGCCGCATCAGAGAATTCGCCCTTGATGAAGTGGAGCTGGGCACGGTGGTAGTAGATGTCGGGGTCGTCGGCGTTCTGTTCAAGCGCCTTTTCAAAGTCCTCGGCCGCCTTCTCGGGAGCGCCGAGCTCCAGGTTCATGCTGGCGCGCTTGATGTAGCTCTGCGTCAGGCTAGGGTCGAGCTCAATGCTCTTGGTTAGGTCTGCCATGGCGTCGTCGTGCTTGCCGAGCAGGCAACGGAAAGTGCCGCGCATGTTATAGGCCAGTGCCTCGTGGTCGCCGAGATCACCAAGCTCGAGAGCCTTGTCAAACGCTGCCCTCGCCTCCTCGTAACCGTCGCCCGTCTTCTTCTCCATGGCCTTCAGGCCAAGCTGAAGCTGACCGACGCCGGTCTCCTCAGAAAGCTCAATCGAGTCTTCCAAGCCGGCAGGGCGAGATTTGACACGGAAGCTTTGCAGGTAGTTGCCGACAAAGGTGTGACTGGGAAGTTTGACGGGGCGGTTGGCCATCATCTCTGACGCCTTCTGCTCGGCAAACTTTTTCAGCAAGCGCTCGACGGACTCGGCGCTGGCTTGGTTCTTGAAGCTGTCGATGATGCATGATGCCGTGAAGTCAAGGAGCGCCTCGCCGTACATCTTCAGGTGCTCGTAGGCGTTGGCACGACGGTTGAGGGCCTTGACGTATTCGGGGTCAAGGTTGATGGCGGCCGTGGTATCTTCGACAACCTTGTCCCAGTCACCGAGCGCGTTGAAGCAGGCGGCGCGGTTAGAGTAGAAGATGGGGTTGGCCTTGCACAAGATGGCCTTGGAGTAAAGGTCGATCGCCGAGTTGTACTCCTTGCTGCCGTAGGCCTTGTTTCCGGCATCCTTCAGCTTGGCCGCGTAAGCATCGCGCTGCTCCTCTGTGAAGGTCGCGACAGACGCCTCGGTGATTTCGGGCAGCTCATCGGCACTTTCGACAGTGACTGGCTGAGCTGGCGCCTTCTCCTCGACAGTTTCTGTGGACGTTGTCTTCTCGGCCTCAGCCTTCCTCTCGGCCTCCTTTCTTTTCCTGCGCTCCTTCTTGCTGAGCTTTGGTGAATTGTCCTTGGGCTTCTGTAGTTGAATCTCTATCAGCGATTGAAAGTCGAGGAAAGGTTGCTTTGATGTCGCGCAGCAGATTGGAACACGATGAGGCAGTTTGGTGCAAGTCTACGATAACAGCTGGAGAGGCAGGCGAAACTTACCGAGTCACTGTTGAGGTAGTAGAAGACGCCTGCACCTGTGAAAACGACGGCCACACCGGCGATCGTATAGACGACCGTCTTGTTCTCAGACGCCCACGTCGAGATGCGATCCCAAACAGAGGAGGACTCGACGGGGACCGCGACAGGCCTAGTGGCCATCGGGGGGACAGAGGGAAGAGGATTTGACATGATTAAGAGTGCGTGCGATGAATCAAAAAAAACTGAATAAAACACTCCTTGACTTTGCGGCAGGAGCCCGGAGTGTTTACGTTGGGAAAGGGCCGGAAAGAACGTCGGCTGTGAGGCGGTTGATGATAGGAGGTTGAATGGGGCGCGCGATAGCTTTCCTGGATGCTGCTGGAATCTGACGGGAGGTGATGATACAGAAAATTATTGCGGGCTTACCTAAGGACAGGCCCAGACGTCACCACACACAGAGCCTAGCAGCCCCGGCGACCCGAGGCGTTACCATTGTCTTGGCCTGTGGGCAGGCCATCTCGACTGAGCCCATACATTGGCCAATGAGAGACCTGAAATTTCATGACCTCGTCCGTCAAAGCTCCAGGCCAAAGATGACCAGGGTGGGCTTTGATGGACAAAACACATCTCAAGCGTCGTCGGCTACCTGCACTGATCTCACTTGAGCTTTTCAACACATCGTCTCGCTCATTGAAATGTCTCGAGACTTTCAGCTCTTCACATCATTACGCCACGATGATGGGCTTCGACAGGTCCCTACGCATGGTCCTCAAAACGCTGGATGGAACCACCGTATTGAGTCACCCTACTATATACTCGATTACCACCGCGACCGCATGCTCAGAGCTGCCACCCACTGGGCGTGGCCAGATGCCATTCAGATCCTGGAGGGTGAGGCTGGGCTAGAGCGCCTTGCCTCCTTTCTGGATACCTCCCTGGCGGATCACAGGTATACGGCCCGTGTGAAGATCCTCCTTGCTCAAGACGGCCGGCTTGCATGCGAGAAGGGACCTGCTGCACCGGTGCCTCTGTCCAACCTCTTCCCCAGTTGGCTGCCCGTGCCTGACGCAGAGGTTGCTGCAGGCGATCCCAGCAAGACCCCCGTGTACAAGATTGTGCCTGACACGGCCCTGACGTCCAAGTCGGAATACACACATTTCAAGACAACGGAGCGCGCTGTCTACGATGACGCGCGGAGTCGCGCCGGGATCCAGCTGACCGATACCACGGAAGTTCTGGTAGTCAACAAGACTGACGGTTCCATCATGGAGGGTAGCCTGACAACCCCTTATTTCTTCAGAAACGGCCGGTGGGTGACCCCTCCTGTACCCCAGAAATTCAGCTGGGAGTCTGGCAGTGGTGGTCAGGATGGCACCACACGTAGATGGGCTCTCGAACGGTAATGCTTACCTTCCCCTCCCCTCCCCGTCTTGTCGCGGCTTAACCCACAGACCTTCTGATGTGTTCTCTTGTGCAGCGGTATTGCGATCGAAGAAGCTGTTCTGGCGGACAGCTTGGTAGATGGAGAGGAATGCTGGATAAGCAATGGAGTGAGAGGTTTTATCTTTGGCCGGGTGAGCCTACGCCCTGAGTAGAGACTGGTCCAAAGAACGAGCATCTCCTCTGACGTGCACCTGATGCACAGGCCGGGCCTCTCATCTCAGCGCTCCCACTCTGAGGTGCAGCGGTCTTTGCGTCGTGCGTGCAACGACCCCAAGAAGCGGGGATGGTCTGATCAGGTAGTCCCGCACGAAGTAGTCATACGGGAGCCTAAGGCCAATTGACGGTCGTAAATCGGTCTGATTCGCTGAAGCTTTCTCCTGCTGTTGGTGTGACGGAGAGCAGAGAGCTTGTACATAGGTAGTCTGTCCAGCGCAAGCTACCTTCCCTAAGGTACCTACCACGGAGAGCAAAGACGTTGGGGCCCAACAGTGATTACTGTGGCTGTAGGTAGTATCCCGCGAATAGCGGCAGCACCAGATAGGTCGCCAGGGAGCCTTCAGCCGCCATCGCGAAACGTCTCCAACCGGCTTGATCGGAATCGGGCGTAACCAGGGTAGTTGTTCACTCAGCTTCATTAGGAAAAGAGTCAGAACTCGGTCGTGAACAGCCGGCGGACTGTAAAAGCTGGACTTGTGCTAGTAGCAGCTACCTAGGTCCCAGTACAGGTGGTAGGCACCTGGGGAGGTTGTCCAAACCAAACTCGGCGGAGGGAAAAAAACAGTGCATTACGTTCCAAGCTCATTAACAGACACTGTTATAGCGTACCGACGATGCCCTGTCGGCTACGGCTTGGTACAGTGCGGGGAGTCGCATCTCCCATGGCACCTGCGCGCATTCCTCTCAGGCTGACAATGACAGGCCAATGCAGGCAACGAAAGCAACCAAACGTGAAGTCTCCTCTCTCTCTCCACACTGACACAAACCTCCCACCCCCCCCCTGGTCCTCTCCAACCTTCGGCCACGTCCAAGACCCCCAAGAATTTCTCAAGTTTCCTTTGCACATCATCATCATCATCACCACATCTCCACCATCCCCGTGGCTGCCATCTCCTCCGCGCCCGTCTCCACGTCTCCCATCTTGGCCCTTCCCACGCGCGTGGTGCAATTCCCATCTGCCCTTTAACTAGACGCAGACTGTCATCACCGCGGACGAGGAGACGCGAGAAGCGGCACTCCCCTCCCCAGCTGGGTTCGAATCCGACCTTCCATCGTTCGCGCGACCCGACCCGACCTCGACCAGAACCTCAACGAGCCTCTGCCCCCAACCTTGAAACTCACCTATCTACGGCCTTCATAATAAGCTGTCCATACTCTCGGACTGCACTCTGTTTACTTTATTCTTTTTGCTTGCTTCCTCTGTACGTAGCCGCAGGGCGGTTTCTGCTTGCTCTTATCCACCCCGACCATCCCGCTTCCACCACCGAGTCACGTACTCTCGCTGGAAAGTCAATCTGCCGCATGTCCGCCGCGACACGCACGTACAACCATCCGACACCATCTGAATCCTAGTGGCTGTTTCCAGCTATGCCTGCTCCCAAATCGAACACAAACATGGCTGCCACCCGTCGCCGAAAATTGATCGGCCACAGGCGGCGGGTTGACGATGAAGGGGAGGACGAAGGTGGTCTCGACCAGCTCGACCTCGAGGATGACTCAATGTCTGAGGGGTCCTTTGCCAGCGATGACATCGACAACGAGCACGACGCCGACAGTGACACCAGCAACATCGATGAAACGTCGCCAGTTGCGCCCAACGTGAAGAAATCAAAGGCAGCTAGGAATGGTGTCGCGAAGGCTCCTACCGCCAAAGATCCCGTTCCTCAAGCTCAACCTGATGGCAAGCCTGCCTCAGACACGCACTTGATGATGCATGGCCTGTCTCTCGAAGGCAAGCACACAGCAGGTGAAGGGGAGCATTTCGACGATGCGATCGATGTCCTTCCGAAACCCACATCCAACGGGCCCCTTGTCGTGACTTCCGATTCGGCCGCGAAACAACCAGCAGAGCCTGTAGGCGACCGTCGCCGGCGGGAGCATGAAGAGTACAAGCGAAGGCGGGACGAAGACCCTGCCTTCGTACCAAACAGAGGGGCTTTCTTCATGCACGATCACCGGCACGCTGGTCCAGCCGCGAACGGCTTTCGTCCCTTCGGCCGGGGCCGTGGCCGAGGTCGTGGTGGCTTCGGAGGCCCCTTTGCCCCAGTGCAGTGAGTTTCTCAGCCCTGCTTGTCATCGATTGTTCTGCAAAGACTAATGATTCAGCCAACTCCAACCACCCTCCGACCCTCTGACAAGCGGACAATGGGCTCACGACATGCACGAAGACGTCGTCAACCCCCAGCCCTCGAGGCCGGTCCGTCATGCACCCCCCGACGAGGAGGGTCCTCCGAATGGCAACGGCATTATTCCGACCTGTTCCCCGAACCCGACACCGATCAACAGAACCATGTCTACCGAGAAGCACGTTGGGAACGTGCAGGTCAGAGTTTCAATCACACCCGGTAAACCCCCTTCAGCCTTCGCCATGCCGGTCCGACAATACACCAAGTTACCCGACCACAGACCACCCCTACGCCGCGATAAGCCAGTTCGAATCTCGCTTCCCGACAACGCGCCAAAGTACATCTTTCCCGCCGTCGACAGGTCATTCATCTTCATACCGAGAGCGATGCGCCCCAACCAGCAGCGGACCCGCGGCAAGCCTCGCTCAGGCCTTGGATCTATGGGTGGCTTCTCTCGACGCACCAGCGTCTTCGGTGGCAGCTTCTATGGCAGTGCTTATTCACCCAGCATTGCCCTTAGTCGCCGGTCGTCGTTGGCCCCCGACGGTCGCGACTATATGTTCTCTCCCACCGGGTCTGTGGTCTCGCGTCCACCCATGCCACTCGACAATCCACGCCCCGTCGTCCGGCTTCCGCCTGCAGTTCAGCAACCGCAGATCAGTGTCGACGGCATGGTGCCTATCGATCACTTCGTCGGTGTACAAGATGCCTCGCTGAACGGCATGCCGCAGCCCCATACACACCCTCTTCCCCAGAAGCCCATTTTCCAGGAAAACCGACAGCAATCAATCCCCATGCACCAGCCTCGCCCGCAGAAGACTGTGTCCGTCGCTGGCATCGAGTCGCCGACCCTGGACCAGCAGCCCTTCCACCAGGCATTCCACCAGCAAGTGCCACCACAAGTTTCAAACGGCCTGGGCCCGGATGGACACTCTCGCCAGCCATCCTACCCGTCTCACCTCTCAACCGGTACTCCTTTGTCTCACATACCCGAACGCGCAATTCACGCTGCGCCGTTCCAGCCTACTCATTATGGCCAGCAGAACTACTATGGCCATCAACAGTCGTACGGAATGATGCCCCAACAGCCTGGATACTATCAACCACCTGCATACAATGGCGGCGTTATGCCATCGCCTGCTTCGGCAGTCCCGTTCATTCCGGCCTCGCAGCAAGCCCAGAGTCAGAATTACCCTCAGCAGTCCCAGTACGAACAGCATGGGCCGGGTGGCAACCCGGGCATGGTAGCGCAAGAGGTCAACGGCATGGTCTATTACTACGATGCCTCTCAGATGCCGCCGTCGAACAACTACCAGGGATACCAGGGTCCTCCAGTCTATGGCTCGGGTGTTCCGGGGATGGCAGGAATGGTTACCCCGAGCCCAGACGGCTTCTTCTATCCCCAGCAAGCACCTGGCATGGTATACTATCCCCAGTAGAGTGGCGGACAGGTTTCACCATGTCCCTACTCTTTCTTCTCGTCAACAGCCCGCGACGAGCTGCTTTCATTTCTATCATCGAAGCCTTTCACGACTACTTGAACGTCTTTCCTTTGGATGTAGGGTCGGGATGAGCGCTGTAGGCCTAAAATTAAAACGGATCGAGACGAAGGCGCCGTCGAGGAATGCTGTTATTTTATCCCGGGATCCACCACGGCTATTGGCTTTTCGAGCGAACTCGGAGGGTTAGATGATGGAAGGGTTTTGTCGGATCTGAGGTGTTTGACGGGTGAGGGAAGGTTCGGACTTTGACGAACAGCAGCGGAGGACTACATGATTATCCTTGCTTTCCTCATTCCGTACCAAGACATCACTGTTCACGAACCATTCTCCTTGCTGTTTCATGATGGATTTCGGAGTCCCTGTACGCTTCGACTGGGCTGTTGTTCTGCTTCCATCGCCTGGTCCACTATTCGGGAGCAACATGTGAAGGGCGTTTTTGGGGACGGTGGTGTCTCTTGGCTTGTGATTTTGTACCTGCCGATTATTCAGCGTTTAGGGCTTTATAGGTATAGTTGATTATCCACTGAAGCAGGCGTATGGTTTGAGACTGTTCGCACAGGTGTTGGCCAGTGCATTTCGCCATTGAATCTGTATGAAGAGAAGGCTCAGTTACAACTGAACTGCAGGCACTGTATCGAATATTTGGCGGGCTGTTGGAGATTCGATGAAAAAAAAACAATGACTGCCAGCAAGATCGCCTTCGCCTGGCCAGTCAGGGAAATGAGGAACAGGTTTTAAATACTTATTTGTCAGGGTGTTCGTGGAGCCTTCAATCTATGGCTCGGGGCATAGAAAGTGCGTCGGTGGGTGGTCTGTCTGTCTGCATTACGGAGGCAAAAGGAGAGAACTAGCGTCTCGGCCAAATCCAAAAACGAAGGTCCGTACCGGGTTCGAACCGGTGCTTACTGGAATCATCTCTGATCAAAACCAGCCGTCCTAACCACTAGACTAACAGACCCTTGTTAACTTGAACTTCACATAATTAATCTACATGTAGTCGTGAAACATTACGGCTTTTTGGATCAATGTCTATATGAACAGACCAAAAAGCACATCGACCGACATGCGAATATATTCTTTAGATGATAGGTATCTATTACCCGATTCACCATCACACCCTTGCCTGTAGGGCTACTCAAGTGCACCAATGACCCCTAGTTTTCACCTTCCATCTTCCACACTTGGGTAAGTAAGGTAGGTGGGAGTACACATGAACTCAAATTCCATCAATACAACACAGGGGGCCAAACGCCTCGCAACTCATAATGAACAACGAATCTGAATCTGAATCATTTACCAACAAGGTCGCTGGGAAAGCGATGGATTTCTTGTGGCCTTCTACGATATCGACAAGCAGCGAAAGCGACTACGGCCATCGTTGCGAAAGAAGCGCTAGTGACAACGAGGATCGCAACCTCATATCTCCAGAGAGGGTGCTAAGATGACGGGGATGACAATAGCGGAAGAAGAACAAATATTAGCAAGGAGAATTACATTCGGGAGAGGACTCGTACCGGCAGCTTCTTGTGCTCTGAACACTTCTCGACGTGTCGCGCTACCATGCCAGGTAGTCTGAACCTCTCCTCGATCCATCTTTCAATCTCGGGATGGGACTGTGGGTCAACGAAGACACGAAGAGGGACGTAGCATAGGTCTTGTCCGTCGCCGAGGCCCTGTCTGTTGCTGATAGGGTGATAGTGGTTGGTCAGCCTCCTACAGCCGGCGGTGAGGCTGCAGCTCTCGCCGGTACCGAGGACGATAAGTCATGCCTGGCAGCTGGTAAAGGTATAGACTAAAGGTCTCCACATGGCTACTCGCAAGATTCTTTCATGTTTTTCTAGATTCTTTGCGAAATTCGACAGTTCTCGGCCATGGTCTTACTGGACTGTAGTATGGAGAACCCCAGTACTCACCTTCGGAAAGACGGACGTCACAACCTTCTCCTGACTCGGAAAGCCGTGAACACTCTTGTAAACGCCAGCCCTCGCCTCAGATTTAGGACCCGGGAGAGTAGTAAAGACGGTATATACACGCAGACTCTATCGCGTCCGGGTCGGAGCCCGAGGGTCATATTGCCCTACTACATCTTCGTTTTCTGTTCTCTCGATATAACCTCCCAAAGCCTGTATTCAATGAACGCACTTATCTTTCTCTTGACCCCCACCTAGGTTATTTTTAAGTAGCTCTCATGCTATCAGTACTACGACTCCTTAGAGTACAGTGCTTCTAGTGTTCAGTGTCGATTTGCTGGAGGCTGCAGCATGTCTTGCTATGTTACGGGATGGTCATTCTCAACGAATAGCCCCAATGAACCCAAGGTATTCAATGGCAGCAAGCGTCGTGGGGATTTGCAAGTCCTTCGTCTGTTCATCGTCTTGAAGTTTATCGTCGAGCCTTTCCATCGCCGTCTTGACCTCCACCTCCCTCCAGTCTGCAGATCTATATACTCTACTGCAGTCCGCCCCGTTCTGTGCCAGGAAAGACACCTTCTCCTTGAACAAGACAAGGTCCTCCTCCATGATAGCGCGCATGACGACGTTTTCGGTGCGTACACGGTATCGCTTCTTTGGAATACGGTTCATATTTGCACCGAGTCCGATGAGCAGCTCCATCAAGTCTGCAACAGGGGCGTCCGTACCGACGGCAGCGTTCAAGGCGGAGTCCAGCTCATCTTGGTATTCTTCCTTCAGGCATGGGCCCTCCGCGGGTGACCCTGTGCTGATTTTTGGTTGTAACTGACGCAGGATCTGTTCGACGACCTGTTTTTTCATGATCCATAAGTCTTCCTCGGAAGCATACACCTCACATGTAGGGCTGGAAAATTTGACTCCGGCGGCGGCGGCAAGACTGCCAGCTCCTTCGATTCCAAGCTTCCATTCATTCTCGCCGGTGTGCCGAATACGGGCCCATGCGTTTATTTCTCTAGACGAAAGCACATTGGCATGTACGCCTAGCAGGATACTGGCGGTCCGCAAGCTCCCAAACTTAGGCTGAGTGCAGCGAAAATGTCAAGAGCCCAACATTCATAGGGAGCTCTGGAACGAGAGCGGGATAGGCAGCAAGTGTACAGGCTGAAGCTCGAGCAACGCATACCAGGGCCCTTTTGAGCGCTCGCAGATTTGCGCCCGAGGCCAGTGACAGCTCGTAAAGGATTGGGTTGGCAATGGGGTGCATGGAGCGGCAGGATCGTGCCAAGGCTGTCAGGGCATTCAGGGACGATACATCTTTCGCAATTAGGATGATAAATTCAGTGGGCAGACTAGTGAGGCAGTCCATTGTCGAATCTGTATTTTGTCTGTATGTCATTGACCAACCCAAGATCGCCAGACGCCGAGCCGGTCGGCCTTGAATAGCACCCAAGTCTGATAAACAAGATGTCTGCAGGATGAAATCAATTGATCTCCTATTCTCGTGTTTTTCTGTCCAAAAAGCTGTTGCATCACATGGCTATTGTTGTTTGTTCTCGACACTGTATCACAGCTTCTTGCGCATCTTTGAGCACGAAACAGAGTTGCTGATGCGCCACTATTGTCTGCGATTAACAAAGCCATTCCTTGCGCCGAGAGGAAACCCACTGTTTTCTCACAGGACTCGGGCAATACCATTCGGCCTCGATGTGGAGTGCTACCGATCTTGTGCCGTTATGAAGGTGAGCTCATTTACGGATCGAACTTGATGACCTTCCAAGAAAACAGCACGTACCATCCATTCGTCTCGCTGGCTCGGCATCGCAAGGGCAGCAGGCTTAGACAATGCTTTCGACCTTTCGCGCATTAGTATTAGTAGTTCCAATTTAGTCACCTTGAGCACTGAGCAGTAGCCCAAGTCTGATACAAGCTGGTCCTGCTGGAATTTACGAGAACGATGGTTGACAAGCTGGAGGTCCATCTACACCTCCTGTGGGCAGGCTCCTAACAGGCTAGGTAGTCAACGGCCTGACCAAAAATCGGCCACACACATCTAGTCATACTAAGAAATAATGCATTGTAACTGTGAATGACATTAGGTATTGCCTCAGGACCAAAAAAAAGGTCCATACCGGGTTCGAACCGGTGCTTACTGGATCATTATCAGGTCAAAACCAGTCGTCCTAACCACTAGACTAACGGACCCTCGTTAGTTTCCTGGCCCCTAGCTTTTGTGATTATGATGGACATCACTGTTCAACTTTTCGCTGCTCTTCCCGTAACTGGACTATTGAGGCCTGTTTTTGGGTCATTATTCACTAGGTTTCATGGTTTTGACTCTGCCTGAGCCTAGTGTATTATTCCAACTTCAAGGGAGAGCACTGCCTCACGAATGGCTTCAACGCCAGGCAAGACGGCAAGGTGCAGATTGGTGGGTGACGACCGCCGTATACAAGCAAGCCAAGTGCTTTGCGTCGTCGGTGACGGGGAAAGTGGTGACGTAGATTATTGCTCTTCTGGGAGTGAGATGTAACGAGATGATTGAGGCTCAGTGTTCCAGCTTGGGAGCAATACGAGTCTTATCATATCGTCAATTGATCCCCAAACTCCGTGGATTCCGTACAGCATTGCATACAGGACTGACTCGGGTTCGGTGTTCGTCGGTTGATGTCAGCCTTGGAGGCGCCTGGGAGACAGACACATACTCGTCCGTGTCGGACACTCGGACAAAAGCAGTTCGCAGCAGGCTTCCTTCCGCCCACGTACATACACAGGGAAGCGATCTAGATGGATGACAACTCCAAGGCAAGAATGGACTGGAAACAACCGTCTTCGACGGCAGGCAGCGGTCAGTCGTGGAAGGGTGTCGCGATACGATTGTTGGCTTGCCACGCAACGCCCCGAGAACAGAGGACAGGGTGAGCCACATGAGACGCCACTGGTGTAGGTTGTGACATCAGCCGCTCAACCTCGGGTCTACGTGGACGCTGTCGCTCGCAGAAGAGATGGATGAGACAAGCAGGGGAGTGGGTCAGGCCCCCCCGAGGGCTGGACTGCTTGACAGTGCTTGTCCGGGGACTATCCAGCGAACCTAGACTCGCGAACCTTGGACGGGGGCTTTCAGTCGGGTAACGAGTTGGGTGGTTATGGCATCTGGCCGGGTTCGGGGGCCGGGACAGTTTCGCATGACTAGCTGCACTGAAGGCGGGCGGGTCAACTGCGTCAGCGAGAACGCAAGAGGAATTTGGATGGACCTCGTGCCTCAGTCCTTCTGGTTGGTCCGCAACAGACGACGTGGGCAGACCATGAGACGGAACAGGGTGAGAGAATGGAACGGCGAAGTGGAAAAGGGAATGAAACCCTGAGACGAGAGCTGGTGACGAGGCCACGCCTGCCTGGCTGGCAACAGAGTGGTAGACTCGAGGAGGCAAACCACACGCTTGGTGGTTGGCCTGTTGACCGGCGGATTGGGGTCAGGTAGGGACTTGGGAGCTTGGGGGGTACTGACTGAGAGCGGTGGGGCTTGGGCAGACGACGGATGCCGGGTGCGGTGCTGGCGTCGATACTGGCAGAGGGGAGCACGCCATGTTCAACTTTGGCCCCTTTTCTGTTTAAGCAAGATACCTTGATAGATAGGGATCTTGGTATGCACGAGAGGTACACAAGGTGCAGCACAGCATGGAGATCCTTGGAGCCACCCAGCTGAGCGTGCTTGCGGGGGGAATTCAGTTTTCCATCACAGGTCGCCTGAGACGTTTGAAGACGGCGGTTCGCCTCACTGTGAACCCTGGCATTGACGCACCAACGTGACAAGGCCCAGGGAGCGGATGGGTCGGTCTCAGCGCATTGCCCCCAGCGGCGGAGGGAGGTGTAGGTACCTACCAACCTAAAACTCTAGGGGTGGTGGTTTACCACCCATCATTGAGGCAGGACCTCGGCCAGGGAGCTGGGATGGACAGCTGAGCTCCTACGAATAAGCAGCTGCATTGTACATTGTGCATTGGGTGAGGGAGGCTAGGTAGGTAGTTGGCTAGTAGATCGGGCGTTGTTCTGTGCAGCAGGCAAGGCAGGTTGCTTGTACATTGCGGGACGAGGCGGCTGAGAGTCGAGTGATTGCGCGGCATACCCTCAGTTCCACAAACGAGGCACAAGTGCCAGAGCCTTGTCTGGCCTGTCTGGTTCGTGGAAGGCGTGTACCTACCTACCTACCTACCTACCTACCTACCTACCTAGGTACCTAAGGAGGTACCCAAGGCAAGGTAGCTTGCTTGCTGACCGCCCCTTTCGTTGGTGTTCTGTTCGATTACTTTTTTCTCCTTCTATCGCCTTCGTGACGCCCCGTGCCTGTGGCCACTGTGCACCCACTTTCAGTACTTGGCCATTGGAGGGCAGTGCGCGGCGGTCTGCCTGCCTTTTTTTTTTTGGGACAAAAACACCCCCCCCCTCCAAGCCCCTTCGCCGGGGCAGGTTCTACGGGGATGAGAGGGGAACCAGGATCCCCGTGAATTTTGGATTTCTCTATTTTAATTCGGGGCTGGCTCACAGCGGCCGAGAAAGGTACTTTCCAACCACGCTTGTTCATGGAGTCACCTGGGGGAACGCGTATCGGGGGCTTCCCCCCCCCTCA